CAGACCCCGAAGTAAGAAATTGAGAACCCCAGACCCCGAATTAAGAAATTGAGAGCCCCAGGGCCAGGCTGAATGAGCACGGGAATGAGGCAAATTGATGTAAAGAAATTGAGAGGTCTCTGGATTGGGCAGGGAAATCACCCTGAACCAGCGCTTGCACCCTATTGTAAATATTTTGGGGTCTATATTGATGGGGTTTCCCTGTTTAGAAAAATACCTTTCAGGGGTTTCGGATATGTAGGCTTCAGGGTATAGCGGTTTGTGTGTGGGTTTAGGGTTTTTGATTTGTGTACTTGTTTCGGGTTTGGGCTGTTGGGGTTTCAGGTTTGTTTGGAGTTGGGGAGGCAACTGGGTAAGCGTGCTCTGCTTCGAAATGCACATGCAGTTTGGCGTTATTGCAACTACAATTATAACGCGCTTCTGGGATACAACCATGCGATTCCCGGAGAGGTTGACCTAGCCTTACCTCGTCTAAGGCATCTGTAAAGCTAACCCAGACTCTTGATTAATAAGCCCCCTCCCTCTAATTAACAGGGATGATAATAGGGATCCTAACATTACGGCCCTTATAAGAAAGAGGTTTATGAATCATTGGCCTACATCAGTCCTCCAAGAGCACGTCCAGGAAGGTGTAGCGATAAACAACCCGAGCCATGAGAAGCCTCGTTTACCTCTCGGGCGACTGTGCCGGCCTTGAGCCTTACAAAGGACGCTTGCGGCGAAGGAGCTGGCAAGCCGAGCATGCCTGCCTCCGATAGGTGAAGCCTTGCGCTTTCCCCTTTACATCTATACCTACTCATGTACATTATAGTAAATTACAGTATATTATAATATATTGTAGTATAATGTAATATACTATAGTATATTGCAATATTTTATGCTATGTTATAATGTATTATAGTATATTAAAGTATATTATGGTATATTATGGTCATCTTCCAGGTGCTCTTCTTACAGATTCTCCTCCAATACCTCATGTGTTCCGTGAGGTGCAACCCGCTGTAGGGGCCGGGTTATGGTTATAGGGATGCGTTTTGCGCCTAGAATTCCCGAGCACCTGGACCCCAAGAGTAGGCAAAATAACAGCCCAAAACCCCTAAAAACAGCTCGAAAGGCAATCATTCTACATACCTTTGGGGTTCAGGCTGCTGATGTGTTTATAAACATGATTTCTTCATGATGTATATTGTGGTTTCCATAATAAATAGGGGCCCCAATATAAGCCCCAATAAATGATGATGTGCTTATCCCGTACTCTAAGGATGGAAGCCCCCACATATCCAAATATTAAATCCCTAAACCTTAAACCCTGAACTCCATTGAGCTCACTTATAAAAACACGCATCCCAAACAGTACACAGAATGGCTGGCTCGGGAATGGCAGCATGGAAGCCTACGAGGATGCTGTAAAGTATTATTGAGGGTTTTGAGTTTTACCTGGACCCCCAAAGTATGTAGAATAATGGCCTTTTGGGCTATATTTAGCGGATTTGGGCCATGATTTTACCTACTTTGGGGTTTTGGGTTTTGGGGTTTAGGGTTTGTGGGTGCAGGGTTTCGGGCTTAGGGCTTGGGGGGAAGGAGAACCCTGAACCCTAAGCCCTAAACCCTTATTCGTAGAGGCAGGCGTTTTAAGGCGGTGGGGCTTGAGGGGACTGATGTCAAAGACTGCGGGTTTGGGGGCAGGGACCGTCCCAAAGGTGCCCAAAGCAATTGCTGTTCCATGGGAACCCAAAGATGAGGACCTGGGTTTAGGGTTTCGGGTGAAGCCTCTTAATATCCATACCTCACGGCCCTAAATACAGTGGGAGGATCATCATGAAAGTCCATTCTCTAAAATATAACCCGACTCGCAAACCCAAACCGAGTTGCTAAGATCAGCATCACGGCCGTCCTGAGCTGTTAGGCTTTAGGGCTGAAGGTTGCGAGATCAGGACTGGAGGTTGTGGGCAGAGGGAGTTCAGTTCTGCTAAGCTTCCTCGTACAGATAGCCTTCGGGTTCATGCCGCTGCGTTTTGCACGTTAAGTTGAAGGATTCGGTTGTGAGGGGTTTGGGTTTTAGTTTCGAAGATGTTGGGGGGGACGTTGATGGACACCCTTGGTAAAATTGAACCTGATCACCTACTCTTCAAGTGGTGGCTGAAGAGGTGATGGAACACAGTCTCGTGTAGGTTAGCCAGGGTATCCGCAACAGGCCGGGATACGCCACCTGTTAAAGCCGCAAACCCGAAACTGACGAGGATGTCTGTTTGGAAGAAAAAATTGCTTCTCACCATCCATAACCTTGCAAAACTGCCAACTGCTGCATGGACCCTGAAAGAACATGGGTTGGGCTCCAGGATGGCGTTTCGGGTTTAGGGTTCCGAGTTTTTGCTTGCGGTCAAGGCATAGATGCCAAAGCTTATTGTGTCGAATCTTTGCAACCACAAAACTGCCGCTTAGCATGTGATCAAAAAGGCCCTCCATCCTGACCCTTGGCCCTAGACCCAGATATGTGTACGAGGGTTTCCAAACATGGGAGTTCCCGTTACATAACCTTAGATATGATAAGCTTTTAAACGCATCTCGCGATACCTTCGGACTTATGGGTAGAGACCTGTAGAGACACCCGAATGAAAATTTATTGTAGTCCGCACTGCCATCAACGCAATGCATGGATTCAGATACCTAGCACAAGGGTTTGTGGGCTCGAGGCCAGATACAGACTTATAGTAAAGCCCGTTTGCAATCATTCTGGCGCTAGCTTTACCACCACCTTGAGAAACCCACCGAACCCTAAAAGCCATGAACCCTACCAGAAGCCAGAACAATTGCCAACATTATTCTCTTATCATCCTTACATAACTGAGCAAATAACGTCTTATACGCCCACAAACCCTGTTCGGATTGTTTAAGCCGCCCCCTAGTAGACAGCATTCCCACGTTCCCAAATTCTCGGGGTTCAGGGTTTACGGTTTATACCGCGATGGGAAACTTCGTATTAGGGATTCCAACGCTAGACGGAGGGGATTAAAACCATCTGCGCCATATTGAAAACTCCTAGTATCCCCCTGAAGAACCCCCTATGGTAGTCCCCTAGATGATCCCCTATGTAACCCCCTTTAAAGGGTTTAGGCTATACCTCATTTGGTTCCAAGGATCACTAGGCCGGCAAACCCAGCAGCCGCCGCTGAAATGTGGCGCATGGCGCACACCCGTGGCCATCATCGCAGGCGGCGGCAGGAAGCTAGCATAAACAAAGACAGAGTAGGCATGGTTGGGGGATTCTATTGGTTTAGGTTTGGGGTTTACATGGATAAAGCCGTCAGGAAACAGGTCTGGGTCTAGACATTCATGTTGAGATTGAAGGTTTCAGAGATTAAGGTTTAGGGTTATGGCTACGCAGTGGTTAGGATCGCACTGAGCCTTTGGGATTTGGGATTTGCTAGATATGGGACCCTAGAAGCAGGGGGGCCGTATTACACCTGGGACCCAAAGAGGCCATCAAGTTAACACACTACCATGGCACGTACACTCTAAACCCTAAACCGCCGGGAAAGGTTTACAGATCAAGATACCAGGCTCCGAGTCAAGATTTCCACTTCAGGATGCCGTGGCGTAGTACGGGTCCGATAATCTCATATAGGGTTAAGGCTTTAGCATTCAAGGTCTACAGCAGAAATATCAGTCAACAATGGAAAATCAAATGGAAAATAGAACATGAAATGGAAACCTTGGGCCCGGTGAAAGGGGATGTACAGGGCTTAGAAAAAGGAAATAGAAAATGAAATCGTAAAAGGGTCTACATAAGGCTTTGTAGGGATTGTGCAAGATAGGGGTCAAATTGCTACCAATCTGCATTTTGCGGTCCTTAGTTGAGGTACGCTACCCTGAACCCTAAACCCTGCAAGGAATCTAGAACCATAATATTGGTCTTGATTTTGGCTCCTAAAGTATTCAAAAAGTTGTGGTTTTTGGGCCAAAAGAGGCGAGGCTTGCAGGGCTTAGGGCCTAGGATTTGGGGTCTTATACTTGTTATTTAACTTAGGTGGACCCCCCGCCCAGTAATAGTGACTATAAGGGATAATAGGGATGATATTAGGATCCTCTTATATTCTTATTATACCACTATTAGGGAGGGATAATAAGGATTATATTAGGATCCTCTTATATTCTTACTATACTACTATAACAGGGTGGGGGGTCCTCCTAATATTTAACTGTTAAGGAGTCCAGCGCAGCCTGCGACCTTGGAGGAGCCCCCTTTCAGCCGCTTTTTGAAGTCTTCCAGGGTTTAGGGTCTAGGGTTTAGGGTTTAGGGTTTAGGAGTTAGGGTTTAGGGTTTAGGGTTTTTAGTGTCTTAGGGTCCCCTGCTTGCACGGGCGTGTACAAGCCCACGAAGCTATTGAGGCTGCTGAAAGAGTCCCAGGTGTTTTCTCTTTTGGAGCCGTTGTTGTATACTGGCGTGTTGACAAATAGAACTTAGGAGGACCCCCCGCCGTGTAATAGTGGTAAAAATGAACTATGAGAGGACCCTCCTATAAACCGTATTCTTCCTTATAGTTACTATTGCTCGGTCCGGGGTCCACCTAAGATAGACATTAAGCTTGCAACTTTGGAGCCAAAGAAATCCTCTGGACTGTACCAAGGGACACAAACGGACAAACCGGAGTTTCAGGATTAAGGTTTAGTGTAGGGGGTTCAGATTTTGGAAAAGGTGTGTAGGTTTAAAGTTTAGGCTGCTCGTCATTAGAAATGGCCTCCGCCAAGTAATTTGGATTTTCTACTTCCCTCCCACAAGAGGGCATCCAATGCAAGATGGAAAGGCACCACCTAATTGCCAGAAATCCAATTTCTTCCGCAAAACTACCCGGAGCCCCAAAATCCGTGCTTTTGGGCCTGTGAAGCTAAAATGTTCTTTTAGCATACCATACAGAGGGAAGATCGCCGAGTCCAACGGGAATACTGTTCGTACTCATTTAAGCTTGTAGATTAAACTTTGCCGGGAATCTTTGTTTGGGATACCAGCTAAAAAATATCAACAACTACGAAGAGAATGCTACTCTTGATCAATCAGGCTTATACTGGGTTGCCGTTAAGGAACTTAAATTAAGTTGCCATACTATGGGTTTTCCTTGTTATTGTAACTTAAGTTAAAAGTCCTTGACAGCAACACAGTATACGTGAAACTTTGGCGGCACTGTTTTATGCCCTCCCCCATCGACAGCCTTCGAGGTATTGCCATTGGGATCGAGCGGGTGACACAAGTGACGGAATCCAGAAGTAAGGATTTGGAGTTCGAGTTTGCGGCTTGCACCACGAGGGCTTAGGTTTTGGGGCCTGCACCCTGAAAACCTGCATCTACTTCCTGATTTTTCGTACATGAAGCTTGCCCTCACCCTCTATCTTGTGATAAGAGAAAACCGCAGAGGAAACCACTGCTAGTCATGCGCTCTGGCGGCAGCACATCTTATCCGAAACCCTTGAACTCGATGAGTTGTCCTTCGTAACTAGGGTTTAGGGTTGCCAATGTTTGAGATACTGTAGCACTACGTAAAGGATGCAAATCCTGAGTCCAACGCCTCAAAGCTGTATGAGTACAGGCGGGGCCCGAACCCTAGCCAGAAACACAATGTTGCAGGGCCCACAATAAGCAGAGAATGGTGTTGGGGCACA